ACACTAAGCTAACACTACTGGGAAAGAATTGAAATTAACAATCTAATAAAGAAAGTTCATGACGCAAACTACCTTTTTAATCACACCACGACACGAGACAAAACACCGACCACTCTTGCCTCTTCCACAGATCGATTCGAAGTGGACGATCAAAGCTGAGGAATTCCTCAGATAGCCGCTAGATTGTGACCTTTGCCCGGGAAGTCGCGAACTTGGACGACACCCAATTTCACGACCACCAAACTCTCGCAATTGTGCACCCGATTATTAGTGCCTTGCAGCATCTCTTCCAACGGACTATTCAGAGTCCAGTCATCTCTCTCCCCGAAATTCGGTAGGAGTGCGCAAAGCCGAACGGAAAAAGGTCATTGCATTTTCAATGGAAATCTGGCGGGTCGATGTCCACCTTACGACGCTGTAACTTCGTAGCGTCGGCAAGCTTGACAGGCTTTATAATATTTGAATTTGCGCTTCAATCTGAACGTAGGGAACTCATTACTTTTTTTTTTGTATGACAAGTGTAACTCTACGTAAGTGGATGTTCGTTCCTTGGCGGTGAACAAATTTATGGGTTTATTTGAAAAACGAAAGTTAATGCAATATAATTAAATGTGGAAAATTGTATAAATAGGAATTCTGTGCAAATAAATAATTAAATAAATAAATGCAACAGCGTACTTGTTACAAGTGTTGCCCACAAAACAGCTGCTTGATCATGCCATAAGATTATCAATCTCTTAAACAATTAATAACAATTTAATTTGACATTTTGCTGAAAAACGATATTGCGCAAAGTTGTAGCTTAGAAAATTTACCGTAAGAATAGCTATGAAAATTTTCGAAAAAGCAATATGGAAAATGGGTATAAGACAATGAACATAAAGTTTGGCTTTCCCATAGTAATTTCCATATAAACTTTGAATAGTTTGTGCCAAGTCAGTTTCTTACCAAATGTTCCTGATTTGAAGCAGTTTGAAAATGGACCTGATTTGAAGCAGTTTGAGCACTGTGGAGCGAAAATTTCAAATTTTGCATCAGTCTACTGGGCATAGAGTATGATTGTACTTGCGACACAATTATACTAATGCAAAAATGTTTCAGGCATTGGAAGGTCTCAATTAATAACTGTGGAAGTGCATTTAGAACACTAAATTAAGAACATGCAACTCAAAAAGTTCTATCTTTTAATTTTAACATGTTTTAATTTTTGAAATTACTCTTAATTTTCCGATTATATTATATATAAAGATATTTTGGAATGTATCTAGGTTGTCTTGCCCCTTGGGTGAACCGTAATTAATGGGTTGAAAAGCGTTGTGAAATACTTTCTTTTAATTTAGTTTCAACGTATTCAAAGCTACTTGGTTCACGATGTTTATAAAATGCTTCGAACTTGGCTTTTCATTATGTTTAATAAATTATTTAAAAATTATTACTAGTTGACAGTGCTACTAAAAATCAGGCATAACTTTTGATAACGGCACAAAAGCATTTGTAAACAAACTTTCTAAGGCCCTTTACACGCGAACCAATACCACTTTCGGAGAGGTGATAGTTGTCCCTATCCGATGATGTTGTTGGTTTGCGTGAGCATACTTTGGTTCGCGTGTAAAGGGCTTTAGAAAGTTTGTTTTCAAATGCTTTTGTGCCGTTATCAAATGTTGTAACTGAAATACTTAAAAAAAAATTAGCGTCAAATATTGCATTGGGTTAAAATTGAAATTCGCTTTATTAATTTTAAAATTACCAGTACCGAAAAACCCGGCATTTTCTCATACCAGTACCGGTATTTCGGTCACCCAGTATTACCAGTAAAACCAGTACCGGTTCCTCATCCCTAAACTGGATGATGTGTGCATACAGGTATACATTCTTTTATTTAAAATATGGGCGCTCCTGATAGTGTGTAGTTCAAGTAGGAGGGGGGTTACCATAAGAAAAAAATAGTGAGTAGCTAGCTCTATGGTTACCATGACCGCACTGTTATGGACCACCTAATATTGTAAGTATTGAGTCGTTTTGTACTTAACAAATGACCAACATGCTGCTCAAATATTTAAATAACGGTGAAGGTAGATTTCAGACAAAAATATTCGGCCGTGTACATAGCCCAAGTAGAAATTGGAGTTTTATGAGGGTTCTACAGACTATGATTTAGACTTGTTGCATGCTTTAAAACCGTGATAAAACTTGCAATGTTACTTGGGAGGGCTCGCCTAGTTAATGTATTACGAACAAAAATTACCTCTATACATGTCTTTCGAGAAACCAAAAGATCGGTTGCAGAAAAATTTGATTTCAACCCTATCTAGGCATCCTGAATATAATCGTTATACGGTTATCCCAAATTTAAATCGTTAAACATAGGTTAAACAACTTTTTGACGTAGGACTACGTCTTTCGGAAAGGGTGCCATTCCAGGGAAATGCAACGAAAATTGGTCAGACTTAATATGCTAATAATTTGGCCAATAATCAATGGATTTTGATGATTTTTATGTCGATCGGTTCGGCAGTTTGATAAGATTTGTGTTTGTCACATTATAAATATTAAAAAATTTAAAAGCTTAACATTAAGAAATATGGAAATATTCGCAAATCTTATACATTTTCTTCGACCACCTGGTGCTCACCTCTAACACAGCCATCAGAAAGTTGGTTCCTAACAATACAAGTCGAAGCCGCACAATCATTCAGCGTTGCACGTTGGACGGGTCGACATCGAACTTTTTGGCTGCAGCGTGGACATCGTAGCATTTTTTTTTCTATTCATTCACCTACATCAGCTAAATACAGAAGAAAGGAGGGGCATAGAATGATAATCCAAATGCTTAAGGAAACGAAACGTAGAAAGTTGGACTGCAGTCATCGTTTGGCTGTCGAGTGATAAACGAAACTAACTCAGAGAGTGAATAACTTTTACTCAGTTGTGAGTCACTTTTAATCAATCGTATGAAAATACGAATCAGTAAAAGAGACTCATTCTCTGAATAATATTCGTTTTCAATGTATTTAGCTTGCCATCTCGGCTAGAAATTTGATATTGGATAGCCAAGCTCAGTGCGCAATTTGCATCAAATTCCATTCCACTGACAACACGGCCAGAAAGCAGGATCCTGCACGCTATTTCAAAACTAAACAAATTTGGGTAGAATCCACCCAGATCTGTCAAAACTGAATCTACCCAAAAATTGGTAAACTATGTTGGGAGTGACAAGTTGACAAATTACCAACGTCGATCGGATTCATGTCGATGTTGTTCATTTGTCAACTTGTAACTGCCAACACAGTTTACCCATTTTTGGGTAGGTTCAGTTTAACAGATCTAGGTGGAATCTACCCAAATTTGGGTAGTTTTGAAATAGCGTGTGTAATGAGTGAAGATATTCGGATGGACAATACCTATCGCATGATTGGCCTCTTAGTTCAGAATTCATTCACCATGCAGCGCTAGTAACATTTGATTCAAAAAGCTTGCTTAAGAAGTCTACATTAACTGAAAACGAATCGCCGGGTCCAAATCTTCTTCCATGCCTTGGTAAAGCTCCATTGTATTGACTTGAGCTGCGTTGAACGATGGCCTGTTGAAAGCAGGACGGTTAATGGCGTTGTTCGTCGGACGTTGCAAGACAGAGACCTCGGGGTTTGTCCAAGAAGCCCGAACTGTGGAAGTAGTACGGCCTCGTGATGAATATGATCTGGATACCTCAAAGTCTTTGCAAACCTCGACTAGGTAATGAATTTTACATGCTCGTGAAGCTGCAGCAATGGGTGCGAAGTCTGAATTAAGGTGGGATTTAATTATGAAGAGTCTCTCGGATTCTGAAATCGCTGGTTCCATTATTTCAAAGGCCGCCAATTAGTCTCTGTAGAAACTAGTGAAAGGTTCGTTTAGACCTTGGAAGCACAAATAAAGATCGGTATCTCAGAATAGTGCGGAGGCAAAAACTCTTGCTTAATCTCCGTTTTGAACATTTCCCATGTTGTTAGGCTGAGGTACGAACGTGTGTACCATTGGAGTGCCCGACCTTTGAGCAGGTGCTTAATAGACCGTAACAGGGTTTGATCGTCTATTCATTGCGTGTCTGCATAGGTATTCACCTGATTCAAGAATTCTCCTAACTGTATGATGTTGGGCTGTCCAGCGTATTCGAATGGCCATTTGTGTACTGGTTGTGTGAACCTGTTTGCAGTTGGTTGTTGAGTGGATGTCCTAGGTGTGCTTGGCCTGCCTTGAGATCTCAAGAACCTCACGAAGTCGTCTCGCAAGTGAGGAGGAATATGATAGAATCCTGTTGCCTGCTGGGGTATACCTGATTGGTTCTGGAGCTGTGGGTCCCACTGCCCCGGAAATATGTTGTTTCGAGATTCTGGTACTGAATCACCATGATTTTGTTGCTCTCGTAGTTGTGATTCCATCTGTAATTGTTGCTCCAATTGCTGTTGTTGATGTTGCATCTGATCCACTAGTTGTTGAAGCTGCTGTTCTTGCCGTTGTTGTTGAAGTCTCACTTGCTGCTATTGTTGTAGTTGTTGCTGCTGCTGGCGTAGCATCTCTTGTTGTTGCTGTAATTGATGCTGCTGTTGTTGAATTTGCTGCTGATGTATTTGCATTTCTTGTTCAGATTGTCCATTAGGGATCGGTTGATCTTTCGGTTTTTGTAATTGTTACTGAAGTAACTGCTGTTGAAGTGCACGCCTGTACCTCGGTAAGTATATGGTTTAGAGAACTGATTTTCTGGCCTTTTCTCCAACGAATAGTCTACTACCCATTGACGAACACGACTCACGACTCCCAAAAAGTCATTCCCTTTATTATTGGCCCCCTGAATTCCCATAGTGCGGATAGCGAGCGGTGTGCTTTCTACGACCTAGATTTCTCCAACAAGACCAGTCGCCGTTTGCTGTATGTATGTATGTGCGAGAAATGAGTGTGATTTGGCGATAGATCTCGTTTGATGATAAATTAAAAACTCAAATGGATATTTTCCACTTCCCCAGGATCGTACATGTTGGCATGGAAACGAGGTATCGCGATTTTGACGGCCGGTTCGACCAAGGTGACTCCGGATACCCGGGTGCGGCTGGTCAATGGGTACACGCTGCATATACTGGACGCCCAGCAGCAGGATGCCGGCGATTACATCTGCCAGCTGGCAACCATCATCCCACGGGAGATTACCCACCACGTGGAGATACTGGGTGAGTACAGGTTGATTTGAATACTACTGCTTTATTTTGACGAAGGGGGGCGGAAGATTAGGATTGAAAACTTCATCGGAATTTCTGATGGAGCTGAACATTTTTTTACAGGAGCCAGTACTCTAGGAATGTGAGCGCATATGCCGAATCTCAATTCATAAACCTATAGCTTATATTAATTGATCATGCTTCCATTGCATAGCAAGATACATTTGTAAACTAGATTTTATTACTGGAAGACAAAGCCTATCACCAATCTCATTTTACAACTCAGTTCACCAGAAGCTGCATATCCTTCCGGCGCCATGCACCTTCCAAACTGCCCACAGCTTCTGTTGTGGTGGTTGTTTACTTATTCCAGACGCGAAATGTTTTCCTTTCTAATTCTTTACCACTTGCCAGGCGCTAAGACGGATGATAAAACAACATCAACAGACACTAGAGTTCCCTCCCACCCTCTTCACCTTCCTCTGCCAACAAGCCTTAGTTGGAAGCAACAGTTTCCCCCTCTCTAAATAAGAAATGTTTTGTGTTGTTTCCCTTCGCCTTCGGTGTTTGTGTTCCAGCAGCAGCAGCTGGGGAAGTAAAGTTTGCTTGGTGTTCAAATTCGAACGGAACAAGCTGACGGAAGGGTTAAGGCGGGACAACGAGGAACTTGAACTGTTTTCCTTCTGGGCAGGAAAAGCATTCGGGGTTCGGTCCAGATTAAATTGGAAGATTAAATGGAATTGGAAAATTTTCCACTGCTGTACGACTGGCTGCGAGGCTGAAAGTACACTTGGCTTGTCAGAGAGGAAGGGGGCAAATGAGCTGATGAAGCTTAACTTCTTCGTTGTGAACAGGGCTGCCGAATCTAAAATATTTTTTTTATTTTTTCAATAAATTTTAATTTACGTCAATTAAACTGTTTCATAGTTTACTTATGACAGCATTGGAATTTCAAATTACATAATGGGATTTATGCCGCGCTTGTCTAACTGCAGGATGATAATTACGGTTAAACTTTAAATTTTAATTAGGCTAAATGTTTCATTACAAAAAATATCCTGAAAAAATGTATGAACCGTGGGTTACTCTACATCTAGCGAGTGACAATCTCTAAATATTTTACATGCACATCACATTGATAATGCCTGTGGTACTTTCTGACATTCAGTGCAATAATTTTGATAGTTTGTTAAATTTGGATAAATAGCTCGATATGAACTTAAAAAACGTTAAACTAGTGATTGTTGAATACAGCTGAAAACCACGAGAACAATCAGGAGAAAAATACATAAATTATTTTTTTTTTTTTGTTTATTTATTTTTTTTTTTGATAAGGCTCAACCGAATTAACTATACAGAGCCGAGGATTCTTGTTTAACATACAAACCATCGTACAACACAATTTTTCGTCCGCTATCCAAAAAGCCTCCTTCAACGAAAGCCACTTCCAGCGCTTTTATTGTATGGCAGTATCGCCAACGGGAGGCAGAGCGCTTCCATTGCAGCAATGGACGCAAAATGTGGTTGCTTTCTAAAGTCGACGACGCATCGATCGAAAGAGCTGCTGATGAAGAACAATGAGGAGGACCACACAATGGTTGCTGCCGAGTAAACAGACGATCGCGTAACCCACATCGAGAGTGGCCTGCCGACAGCTGAGTGAACACAGTAAATAAATAAGTTATTTACACACCAATAAAATTCATGGCAAATGAAAACGTAATAAACTTCTAATGACCTCCGAAAATCATTTCTCTCTGGTGAATGATACGACACTTGAAAGATGCTCGATATCAGCGGCTACGGAACCTTTATCTATTCTCGATGCTGATCACCCTCCGTTAACAGTCGAATTCAACGTTTCTAGAGGTTTTGATTTTGAGGACTTTCCCGAAGATCCTGGTTATGATTTTTGCAGGGCAGATTTCCGAAGCAATGGTGGATGCTCTTTACCATACAGACTGGGCACATTTGGACACTTCCGGAGATGTGGACGATGCTGTTGATCGCTTCACTCGGATTGTGCATAACCTCATTGCTGATCATGTTTCTTTGCGTAGGCCTAGCCCGAAGCCAGCTTGGGAAACTGCGCATCTGCGACATTTGAAGCCGCTGAGATGGAGAGCACTTCGTAAATACTGCAGATCTCGTTGTCCATTCGCTAAGCAGGTATTCAATCGAGCTAGTAACAGATATCGGGCATACAATTGCTTCTTGTACAAACGCTACACTCTACGTATGCAAGACAATCTTAGGAGAAACCCAAGGAAATTTTGGAAATTCGTCAACTCCAAGTGAAAGGATAATGGATTACCTGTTGAAATATTTTTGGGAAATCATTTCACCAGTACCTCATCTGATAAGTGCCAGCAATTCGCTAATCACTTCAATGGTTTTACGTCATCTCCAGCTCAAGTCGAAAGTGCTTGCAGAGACACATCACGCAGCGTCTGTTCATTGGGAAATTTTCTGATTTCTCTCCAACAGGTTAAATCTGCCATCGCTAAATTGAAATACTCCACATCACCTAGCCATGATGGTATTCCGGCATGTATCTTGAAGAGATGTTGTGATGCTATGATTAACCCTCTGACTCAACTGTTCAACATTTACTTGCGTGAGCGTAAATTTCCCTCCAGCTTGAACACTTCCATTACGTTTCCAGTTCACAAAAAGGGCGATAAGCGTAACATTGAGAACTATCGTGGAATAACTTCACTGTGCACCTGCTCGAAGATTTTTGAGATCATAATCAACGACATGCTGTTGTAACCCGCCAGCCTCACGAGTTTCCCGTTGCAAGTAAAATGGCTTAAGCGCCACTCCCGAGGGAGACCATTTACCAGGGTTGAGGTTGCCCGACCGTATGAGACCTTCCAGGTTTGAGGTTCCTATTTTTTTCCCAAATGTTTGGGCGGGAATCAAGTTGGCTGACTAGAGCTATCCAATTACAAAAAGCATGCAACAAAATAGCGAAAGAGATGTAAATGCTGAGAGAATGAACCTAATTGACGGCCAGTACCAAGATTAACCAACGCGAACGGTTATCATCACTGGCCAAGACGTTCCATTCACCTCGAACCGACCCGTGACTGATTCGGAAGTTTTCCAGTTGGTTTCGGGGCCAACCTCCCCAGTAAAACATCCACAAAAGAAAGCTAAAACGGAAAACCGGGTGACATGAAATTCCCCAACCAGATTCACTTTCTACTCATCAAGGCAAATCTAAACAATCATTTGTGTAAACTATTATACGGTTTTATTCAAACATGGCCTTTGGAATTCAAAAGAAAAGCCTTTATTCCATATTGGTTTATTGTCTAGTCTACCTACAGGCGCAACAGTTCATGTTCGTGCTAGCTTCATCTACCTACTTCTTCATTGCCTTTTACCTTTCCCCTCCTATCTACCTGTCTATCGAGCGTGTGTGGTTATGTTCTGGTGTAGTTCGTCTTCATTGTGCGTGCTGCAATGGGTTTCCGTGCAAACGGTTCGAACGATTCTGTACGCCTCGCAAAACCGGGAAAGTGCTACGGCAGCGGGCTCTCAAGTCAACATGCGCATGGACAAATTACTAACAGTGATTCATTTTTACTCACGACCTTTTATGCTGCTGTTCGGATGACGATGATGTGGTGGATGAACAGAACGGGGTGGCGGTGATCCATCCGGTTGCCTGTCCTCGGCGGAAACAGGCGGAAAATGCTACCGATGAACTTGCTGAACGAGCTGATGATTGTAGTGTCAACACGTGGCTTGCGTGACGCGGTACGATCGTCGATCGCGTTTTGGTCGTCACCAAAATGTTGATTGTTGATTATCGCTATCGTGGCCGTATCGCTCTGCTTAGGGCGCGTTTGTAACGCTCGCGGCCCTCGTCCGGCGTACCCCGGGTCTCCTTGGAAACTGACCGTGGGGTCAGAAATGGTCACTACTGGTTTGGATGGTGTGTCGGGCATGTACAGCCTTTGCCAAGAATCTGTACCGAAAGAAACCGTTGCACAGGCACGCGTTACCCTACTATCGCACACACTAGAATTTAACACCGTCTTTACCTGCTTCTCCAAATCCCTTCACACGCTTACACACCGCTCGGGAAAGATTCACTATTGCCTAACGAAACTAACGGGAAAGGATTTTTAAAATGCTGCACTAATTAGAAAATCTCATGTCACTTGTACCTAGGAAAAACACACCACGGCGCGAGACTACGGGTGGACCACTCCTGCCTCTTCCACTGATCTGACCAAAGTGAACGAGACAGTCTTGCAAATCCTCAGAATAGCCGCATTATCGTAATCTTCGGCACCGGAAATCAAGCAAATCTAACGAAGTTAGATTCTCGTGATATTCCGAAAATTATCCTCACTCTCTCGTCAACTGCATCTCTCGCTATCGGCATCTCATTCTAACGAACAGCTTTAATCATGCAACTGACTGTTCGGCCCAAGCATTTAAGGATAGGAAAGAAAATCGGAAAAAGGTCAACAAATCTTCAAAGGATTTGTACCGGGTCGATGTACGTACACGCTAACGCGACGATCGAGCAACCTACCGCCTATTTGCAGCAAAACGGGGATGGATACCACCCAGGCACTCACTACTGAACTAGACTCATTTATTGTTTATTATGCCAAGTGGTAGGCTACTAATTCACTCTCGAATTCATTGCATGGTGATGGAATTCAGGCGCCTGTTGAGGGGCCGTTCAATAATTATGTATAAGGTTTATTTGGAACTTGTGGCAAATGAAAATATTGTTCAAATTGCAATTTGATTACCAGAGTATATTGTATAAATATGAATTCTGTACAAATATTAACTAACTAAATAAATAACTATATACATGGAAAGCGTACTTGTTACACTGTTCACCTCCTGCAGGAATTATATTTCTTCAGATCAACACGGACTCCATTCCAAGAGATCGGCATCTACGAACCTCGTCCAGTTCACTTCATTTTGCTTGCGTAAAATGGATCTTGGCACACAAGTTGATGCAGTGTACACCG